CCAAAACGAACACAAAATTAACTTAGTTTTGGCCGGATTTTGTTCGAAATTACGTCACATCAGTTCGTTCTTCGATTTCGCTTGAAGTATATTGTGGCCTTTACTGTGTGCTTTACAAGCAGGGCCGTTTCTAGCCAATTTGACGCCCTAGGCGAAATCCCTAAGTACTAATAAACAGCCAATTTGGTAGTAATATGCAAGCAAAAAAGCAAGTAGTTAATAATGAGAATTGGTCCCTATAATAGTGTTACCGAAATAATATTTATTATTGATCTGGCTTAACAGTTTTAACTGTTCAGGTTACTTGCTCCAATAAAAATAAATTCAAAAATATATTAGTATTGCATGATTTTTATTAGCATTTCCTCTCGCAAAAAAGCAAGTATATGCCTTAGTGCTGGTGAGAAATAATTTTTTTTTTTTTTTTCAACTTCTGCAATGATCTTTAGAAGTTGCAAAGATTTTTGGAGTATTTTTTTTACAAGAAAATACTATTTCAGTTTTTATACTTCAAAATGTCATGTTTAATGCAATGTGTTACTTGCTTTTTCTTTGTAATTGTTTGTGAAATTTACTAGCAATTTGTGAATGAAAACTGTTTCTACACCAACATTTTTTCAGTGTATTTACAGACACTAGATCATCAGATCGTGATGCCTACAATATGTGAATTATCATAATGTCTCAAACCCTGAGATTTAAACGGTCTTTTTTATAATCATATGGGAAACATGTGGGAATGTAACTGGTGAAACAAACTGCGGGATTCATTAGCTGACTTTTTAAAATCAAAAATAAAACAAGTCGACCAGCCAATCAGTAGGAAAAAACCTAATGATACTGAACGTGCTGTAATGTACAAACGCTAACCACAACTTATTACTGTCACTCTCACTAATCTTTCACTTAGTTTGCCTGTTGTTCCAGGTCACGGAGATGAATTCAGCTAATGTTTTGATTTGAAATCACATGCAGCGTAATGGGCATGGATCAAGCGGGCCTGTTTTGCATCATGGTATGGCAGTGAAGAATCTGGAAGTGATTATGCCACAGGGTACGGAACAATAGCTGGCTGTTCACCTTGATGAGCTGGTTTGGACAGTACACTGATACAAACAAGCACCGTGGACAGAAAAAGTGTGTTAGGAGAGTCCTGTTTTGCAGGTGGTGGACGGGTCTGTGTGTGCACGAAGAGGTTTGTGTAGCTTGGCGTCTAAAGGAGAACCTTCTGGTATGCCAAGAAAAGCAAACAAAAAGCAGATCGCATGGACTTGAATTTCGCAACATGACACTGTTCTTTGTGGCTTAACAGTGACTGTAGAAATCTGCTCAGAGGATCAGTGAGCATGACTGCCGAGTGGTCCGGTGTTTCCAAGTCAGCACTCCAGACCTCAGCCGCATGCATTGGGAGGTGGTCAACAGCACTAAAGTGCACTTTACCGCTCATAAACACTGGAATGACTGCTGCACTGCTGGGGGTGGTGACAGAACAAAGTCATTTTTTAACTCCTACATCTAAAAACGCAGCCTGCTGCTTTATAAACACAGTAGCACTGAAACAACAGCATCTAAATAATGACGGGCAGGATCCCACACTTTTTGACCAATGAATTTCCATTACTTTTATAGTCATCGGTTATTAGATGATAAAGATTTTTAAAATCATTTTAAGGAGTTTTAACTCACAAAGATCAATTTTGTAGCTCCTGAAATATATATATTTTTTCTTGAGCTGCACATTACTTGGTAAATGTCTTGATAAATAATTGTTCATGACATTTCCCTAACTTTGGGGGATGACTTTTCCAGGCCTGGAAATCACAGTTTTAAAATCCCCTGATATTTCCAAGACTGTGGGAACCCTGAATGTGTAACGGGTCTTGAGCCAGATATACAGGAATGAATTGGTTTTATTGTTTAAAGTAGAGCTGATTAAAAGTTTGTAAATCATGTGCAAATCAGAAAGTGTCAGTAGTTGAATATGATGAGAATCTGAACGTAAGATTATATATTATCTACTTAAGTTCAGCCCTTAAAGAGTCAGATTTACTAACTTTGTTCATTTCTAGTAAATAAAATGTTTAAATCCTTTTAGAAAAGCTGCACTCACAAACAGCAAATTCACGATTTTGAAATATTTTTGAGCTGCACATAACTTGCTACATATAATCACTATAGAAATGTCATAATTTTTTGAGAATTTTGTTTATTTACATGACTTTTCCAGGCTTCGAAATCACAATTTTAAAATGTCCTAAGATTCCAATGACTGTGGAAACCCTGAGCGTGTAACAGGTCTTGAGTTAGATCAGATATACATGAATGAATTGGGTTAATTGTTTGCAATAGAGCTGATTAAAATTGTGTAAAGAGGTGCAAATCAGAAACTGTGTCAGAAGATGATATGAGCCAAAGTTACTAATTAATTACTATCTACTAGTTACTATCTCTCTCAAAATGTGAAGATCTGATTTCTGACCGATGTCTTCTCCAGTAATTTATTAGAACTAGTTTTTTGTTTGTTTGTTTGTGTGTGTGTGTGTGTGTGTTAAATTTTTTGAATCCTTTTTTAATAAAAGTTGCACCCCCAAAGAGTGCACACCTTTAGCTTTTTTTTTTGTTTGTTTGTTTTTTTTTTTGAGCTGAACATAACTATAAAAAAATTTCTTCACAACAGAATTTTCCACGGAAAGCAAAGTTAAAACAACATGATATTTCCAGATTTCCCATGTAAGTGGCCCTGATTCACTGGCTAAAGTGACATATGCTTCTTCAATCTTCAATATTCATGTCACAGTACAATTACATGAGTAAGTAATGAGTAAGTATACTGTATAATTACATCTTGTTATTGCTATTGAACGTCATTATTTTAACATGAAACAATGGACACTGTAATGTTAAGCATTCTCTTAATCTGATTTATGGTTTCACACCTGATCTGTCACTGAATAAAAGCTGGTCTTTTTACTCATACAAAAAAACTCAAGACTTTGAACCTCAAATCACATAAAGCCTCCTCCCATTCACACTGACCACCGTTTATACAATAGACGCGTATGTACTGGAAACTGCTGTTTGTTACCTGTTTGTACATATAGCGTTTACAATGACCTGGAAACAGTACTAATACAGTCAGTAAAGCTCAGATTTCTGAGGTTGTGCGAGAGAAAGCGACGGGAGGTTTGCGAAAAGACAAAATAATGACAACCAAAATAAAGCCGCTAAAAGTGGTCAGTCTGACAGGAACAGCGGACGATAGAAATACAAAGGGTCTTGTTGTCATTTAACACGCATAGTGTGCCTTACCCGAAATCATCGTCCATGGATTTGAAGAAAAATTTGTAGTTGGGTTTATTGAGGACATTTTTGAAGTCGGCGAGCGTTACGTTTTCAGCGGGAATGGGTAGTTTGATGAGGTAGGGAGTCTCCTGCTCGTCGAGGTGATAGATGATCTTGGTCTCCGCCATAGCGGGCCGCTGCTGAGGGACAGGCCGCGCACATCAGCCCCACAGCGGCTCGCGCTTCCCGCTTCCACCGCGCCTCTGTCCAGCCGCAACCGCTGCGCTCTCTCTTCAGTCAGCGACGATAAAACCCAAGGACAGAGTATCCTTGCGGTCGTATGTAATACAGATCTATCTAATAGTAGAATACATGAGTATAATAGATGGTCCTCTTTCCAAAACGACGCGAAAGAATCGTGCAGGTCGGTCTTCTCTGGGCTCCCTGTGAATACTGTTGCTTTTTCCTCTGCTCCGTCCTTTGGAAACAACTGTCGGCTGATGTGAGATAGCCCCTCCTATCGATTCACCTCTGCGCTCCCTCTACAGGACGAGCTATACTAATATTATACTGGTCCTTGGCTGCTAGCCTATAAATTTACTTGTTTCATTTAAGGATAAGGGAAAGATGCATCTCAATTTCGCAAGGAGGCGTTATTTCGTGTTATTATATTAATCACGCAATAGAACAACTCGACCTTTTGGACTGCGTGCAAACTGAATAGATTGTTAAATTATTTTCAATGTCCTTAAATGTTTTTGGGATGTGAGGTACGTAGTAACCCAATACATTTGCACCTCATTGCTGTAAGTTAACTTACCTGAGGACGGAGGACTTTCAGAGACTGTTGAGTAATGATTAGTTTGTCGGTAGCGCCCTCTAGAGGATGACACGGTTCCTGCACAGCTGTTCAACTCTGGAGCTTGTTTCATTTAAGGATAAGGGAAAGATGCATCTCAATTTCGCAAGGCGTTATTTCGTGTTGTTGCATATTAATCACGCAATAGAACAACTCGACCTTTTGGACTGCGTGCAAACTGAATAGATTGTTAAATTATTTTCAATGTCCTTAAATGTTTTTGGGATGTGAGGTACGTAGTAACCCAATACATTTGCACCTCATTGCTGTAAGTTAACTTACCTGAGGACGGAGGACTTTCAGAGACTGTTGAGTAATGATTAGTTTGTCGGTAGCGCCCTCTAGAGGATGACACGGTTCCTGCACAGCTGTTCAACTCTGGAGGTGCACAAGATAGCATTCATCAAAATGTTTTTCTTTAGCCTTGAAATATGTTTCATGCTCATGAAATATGTAAAGCAGGTCATATTTCACCACAAAGAATCAAAATATTTAGTACTTATTTATTTTATTCATTTGTCTACTTTTATAATATTTAGATTTTTTTTTTTTCACAAGCCCCTCCCCTGTAAAATACTGTAACGTATTTATAGCCTCCGCTGTTAAGTGTAATGGTCCTATAATAGCATTTAATGCTTCCGTGAGATGAGATCTATAACATAAAATCTCTCATTACAAGAACCGTGCTTTTCTCGCTTCCGACGCCGAATAGCTCCGCCCATTTTCATAATTGGCGCGACGATCTTAGTTAACTCATTAGCGTACATAAGTTTGCAATCGAGTGACTTAAAGATTGAAGCATGAGCAAACAATGACAAAGACTAGAGTATGAGAAAGATTTATCATTAAAACGGTGCTTCTTTACTCCCAGTTTAGATGAAAAAAAATAAAAATACAGGCCCATCCGTCTTACTGACAAAAGGTAAGCATCGTTTTTATTGCATAACTGAAACGTGTATAAATATTTCCTGATACTCAAAGTGAAAGTTGCATTTTCATATTATAGTCTGCGCCTATATATATATATTTTTTTTGCATAGTAACCGTAGTCATGTGAAACAATGATTTATTTCTCATATTATTAACGTGGTAATATCAATGTTACTGTTTTCTAAAGCAATGGTGTAGGTAATGGTAAAGTAACAGTAATTACTAATGTCGTAGTTGTAATTAAATTAAGTTCATTCCCCAAAAGATTTAGCATCTACAAAAATTCAATCTCAATTCCATAGTTGCTAAGTTGTACCTATAGAAAAACCATGATAAATTTCTAACAATGACCTGAAGGGGTCACATGGCTGAAAACAAAAATCAGAGCACACACAGACAGGATCAGTAACACATTTACTCATTAAAGTAGACATCAATAGATGAGGTGCGCCTATATATATATATATATTTTTTTTTTTGCATAGTAACCGTAGTCATGTGAAAATAATTTATTTCTCATATTATTAACGTGCTAATATCAATGTTACTGTTTTCTAAAGCAATGGTGTAGGTAATGGTAAAGTAACAGTAATTACTAATGTCGTAGTTGTAATTAAATTAAGTTCATTCCCCAAAAGATTTAGCATCTACAAAAATTCAATCTCAATTCCATAGTTGCTAAGTTGTACCTATAGAAAAACCATGATAAATTTCTAACAATGACCTGAAGGGGTCACATGGCTGAAAACAAAAATCAGAGCACACACAGACAGGATCAGTAACACATTTACTCATTAAAGTAGACATCAATAGATGAGGGTTGTATACAACCCCTTTTATTGTTGGATGTGCAGTGTTTAAGCCTTCAGTCAACAAAAGTGAATTTGAGAATGTGTCTACCACAAATGCAAGAAAGTGAAATCCAAGGTAGGATCCTCAGGTACGACACACAAAGTGCTCTCTGATGTCTTCATTACCTGTAAAACTGAACCTGTCTTCCACTGTGCTTGTAGTTAAGGCCACTGATGATCAGCTTGGACCCATCTACCTATAACCCCACCCTGAACACCCACCACACTCACTGCATTCTCACAAATCATAATCTGTTCCTTTCTCTTCAAAACGTACTAATTTAAGGGAAATTTGCCTATTATAAAATAAGTGAAAGAAATGCATTGGTTAAAAAAAAAATCACCACAGCATCTCAATTCCTGAAAGCAACCTCTAACACAATGTAAGTAGGACAATGGTCACCAATGTCATCCTAGAATGGCTCAAATAACAAATTCAGGCTGTTCATTTGAACAGCAGTGTTGAAAACACCCACAGTGTTGAAAGGCTTGAAAGGCACTAACATGGCTCCACGTCTTCTGTCTTGATATACCTGAGACTTAATGTTGAGTGGTTAGCACCAGGAAAGAGAAGCTTGAGAAAAACAGATTCCAGTTCAAACAAAAAGGAAACAAATCTGTTTATCACAGAAAGGCTGAGAGTGTGTTGGTTCTGCAGGATCTTCATTAGGCCATGATCAGATTTGCACAGTGAGTACAGACTGTGTGCATTCATGCCACTTCTCAAACACTGTCCAGGAAGGCGATTAGTCAGGGATTGGTCCTCCTCAGAACACCTCTGTGTAGCTAGCAAAAGGAAAGTCTCTGAAATCTTGTTATGGCATAATAACCATTGCAAACATTTGTCCTCCACTTCGTTCCACAGCCCTGAGCAGCTTTATGTTTAGCTTATAAAAATCAGTGTCTGCCTTTTTAAACAGACATCCCAGTGTTGGTGAGAGTGTACACCCATCAGCGCTGGCCTCCCATAATGCATTGCTATGGTCCAGTCTGAGCCAAGGAGTTCAATTCCTGTCCAGTTCCTGCCCTTCTGGCTTTTCACCTCAAACCTTCTGCTTCTCCACAGAAGTTTTGAACTCATGCGGACACGTTGACGTCTCGCAGGGCGATGGTCCCGTTGGCAGGGGGGTCTGTGGGTGAGGAAGGGGCAGAGGGTGGTGATGTGAGTAAAGATGGAGCTGTGCTGGTGTTAAGGGCGCTGCTTTGGAACAGTATCTGCTGAAGTGTCCTGCATAGATTTGGGTGCAAACGGGCCTGAGTTTGATAAAATACCTCCACAGCAAAACACTTCATCACCCCTCCACACAGATCCTCATAAAGGGGCACTGTGTACATCCGTGAGGTCTAGAAAGAAAAAAGGAAGAGGAAAGTTAATAGTTCTATGCATACAATGCCCAATTCTTAATTTAAAACAGCACCTCAGTAAGGTCAAGTCAGAATGCCTCAGTGAAAGTAGTGACAAAAGTCAAACTATACTACTCACACTTTAAAGTGCCCCTATTATGGATTTTTGAAAATGACCTTTGATGCAGTGTGTAACACAGCTCTAAGTGAATGAAAACATCCTGCAAAGTTTTAAATCTGAAAGTGCACCGTGTATAAAGTTATTGTCTCTCAAAAGAAAGAGTCGACTCTGAATCATTGAAACGAGTCGTTTTTAAAACAAATCCCAAGCCGTTTCATGTTGACATCAACATGAAACATTAGCATATTGCCCGCCCACTTGTTGGTCTTTTCGCGTTGGTAAGAATGAAAATGCTAATTCATTCTTTGCCACTAGGTGCCGCTTTTGGAGCGGTAAAAATAACGGTTTCCCCGGTAACGCTGTACACAAAGCAGCACTGCGCTCACAAACGCTGCTTTATCAGGCATTACAGGCTAGATTAAATAAAAATGAGACCAATCGGACCAAACACCGCAGATTAGCGTCACGCAAAGGAGGGCTTTGGAAAAATGAATCGTTGAGTGAATCGTTTGGGAGTCGTTGAGCAAAGTAAGATCAAAATAAATGCATATTATAAGACAATGAAAGTGTTTTTTGACCTTGCATGCATGTCAACCTGTTGTTGGGGACTCCCAAAACCAAAATATGAACCTTTCATTACCCATAATAGGGGCACTTTAATATAACTCTGACGAGAATCCTTTAAATATCTCCTTCATGTGATAAAGCAATATGTTTTTACACCAGATAAGGAGTTTGTAGTCAAGCAAAGAAGAAGCGCCTAAAACAATAATTTTTTTCTTGTATTGAAGGTTTCCAATATTATAAAGACACCAATGATCAATAAAAAGTTACATTATTAATTGTAATTAAAAAAACATTCAACTGGCAAGTAACATAATAATTAAACAATAATTTTAATGTAGCAAACTGATGTGCGGTCACAGGTGAGTGTATATTGTCTATTGTAATATGGCTTTAAACACGTCTCATCTAATCAGAAGTTAGTGTTAGATCAGTATGTTTCATATCTCCTCCACTTTGGAGATTTGATACATTTCAAATTGTTTGCCATGTATGACAAGTTATGGTATCATCAGGATTCATTTTGAAGAATTCATAATCTTTTTACAATCTCTTGGGATGAACTGTAACAATGCTCGACACAATACTCTTTAGAATACGGTAATCAATACAACATGCTTTCGATGAAGCAAAAGAAACCAGCCAAACTGGTTGTGATTGAGCACATCTCTTCACAGCTCTGAAAAGAGACATGACGTCATAAGCAGTTAATAGTCAAAGACTAGCCGAGAGTGTTTATTAGAAACACTGGAATGTGGATGCCCTTTAAGGAAAACTCAGTTTATATTGAGTTGGAGGGGTGAGGGAGAAACAGAGAGTGCCAGACACTAACTCACTGAATTACACGCTTTTACAAACCAGACTGTCCCTAGCTTAATAGTGTTTGTGTCCTCTAAACAAAATAAGATACTGATTTGCTTTAACTCAGCTTACTAGCTTCAGACCACACAAAAGGCTCTTACAATCAATAAGGAAATGCTACATTAAAGGGAGGGGGGTCTAATGCTATTTCATGCATTCTGAGTCATTTACACTGTTAAATAGTTGGATTCTCATGCTAAACATGGTCAAAGTAAAAAAAAAAAAAGAGTATTTCTGTGCCAAATACACTCCTTCTGGGTTTGTATAAGTTTTGGAAAGTTTTTTTTCGAGCATGGCCCTTCATGACGTCATGAAGGGGGGAATTTCTTGTATGGGCACTTCTCCAGGAAGAGTGCGCACACATCAACCAGAGCGAGAGCGAGAGCAGCGCATCAACGTGCTTCATTCGGGTTACGGCAGTCGTTGGCAGCGCTGCTCAGGACTTGCTCGAGAAGAATGTCTCCAAAGAAGTGTGTTTTTGGATGTGAGGGAAGGATAACCTTGTTCAGCTTCCCAAAGAACCCAGCGTTACGTGAACAGTGGATGCAGTTTGTTTTTTCGGGACAGCAACGGAGTTTCGCAAGTGTGTTTTTTTGTTCCCGTCATTTTGGTGACGGATATTTTATCAGCAAGGCCCAGTTTGATGCTGGATTTGCACATCGTTTGATACTGAAAGATGGAGCGGTCCCAGCGCTAAAAGATCCCGGTAAAACTGCATCAAATTTCTGTGTTTTGTTGGTAATCGGCGCCTAAGTGCTCCCGACTCGCTAGATCCGCCCACAACACACCTCCAGGAGCTCGGCTGTTTTCTGAGAGAATCGTAAAGCTGTATCTTTCTTCTATGAATCTGATCAAACTAAATCAAGACTCTTTGGAGATATGAAGAATGCAATACTACTATATAGATCCTCAAGATACTAACATGAGATTGGCCGAAACTGTGTGTGTTATGTCCCCTTAAATGCATTATCAGTTACAGCCCAAAAGGCACTTAATTCACAAAACTCACGTGTTTATGCAAGAAGCTGCGAACTCGGGGCAGATCAGGATAAAAGCTGTTCCGCACAACAATCTGCAGCCATCGAATCTGGACTTCAGCGTTCATGCCGTCCAACAACGCAGAGTAGCAGCTTGACAAAAGACTCATCACTTCTGAAAGGTCAATCACATTTCACATTACAAGAGAAGAGATGTCAAACATCAACGCAAAGGGGATACTAAAATGAAAAGAATGTTGACAAATTGCGAAATGGATTCTTAATACCTTGAGACAGAGGTGAGCGGTCTAGAAGGCGGTCCAGGAAGAGGACAGTCTGAAAGGTGCTCCAGGAGGAGAGGTCAAATGTAGAGATCACTTGGGGGTCAGGGGCATCCATGCCCCAAAGATCACACAGGTGCTGAACAGGGCCTGTTAGAGCTCTACCCGCCGAGAGATCCGGTTCACATAACGGAGGACCACAGCCATTTAGCCATCGCTCAAATTCCAGACCTGAGCAAGAGGGGAAGGAAGAAGGAGGGGAAGAAGTGTCACATTTCTGTTTATTTAGCCTCCATCTCTTGCACTCCTAATGTTGCTTTGACCCCTCACACTGGGTGTTATGACTGGCTCAACAGGGAAAATCCTAACCGAGGACAAATGGAGCGCAGTGAGATGAGTAACTATAAGTGTCTCTGTGTGTTAATCATCATCTCTGACAGCTGTCGAAACTCACCCTCTCGTTCAGCAACGCAGCTCTCCTTCAGCTCAGGGAAGAAGCCAAGGAAAAAGTCCAACAGATCCTGAGCGATTACGCTGCTGAATCTGAACTTCTCAATGTAGGCCTACACAGTGCACGAATTCAGAAACTTCATGTGTGGACCATGCCATATATGTACAGTGGAGCATGAAAATTCACGCATGTGCGGTGAATGTCATGTTTCTCACCCTAAGAAAGCTATCAAATCTCTTGATGTCGCCACACAGCTGTGAGAGGTAAGATACAAAGCAGAAGCCTTTCTCATAGGTGAACAGATTCATTAGACTGCTGGGGTTTACACCTTTGGAGAAAGAGAAGGAAAATGGATAACATGGTACACTGACCCATGAATCATGGGTCTGACACTTCACAAGAACATTATAAATATTTAAGCACATTTTCCAGACAGGCTCAACATTGCAAATGAGGATTTTCCTTGCTTCTGTCTTTCTGAAATCTTAGTAACCAGGAATTTTAGATGCATTTACCACACAGCTATTTCAGGTGTACGGAAAAAGTGCCACGTGCCAAACCCAAGGTCTCTTTCAGACTCATACAAAGGCTGGTTTATATTGTTAAAAAGGTTGTACCTGGCTCAAATTTGGCCTGCAGCTTACTGACAGGATTGTTGTCTCCAAGAAGACGCATCTGTCTGTGAAGAGCATCTAGACGGAACACTGTCTC